GCTTGAGTCGCAACGCTGTAAGTTCTGTGCTGCAGGTATTTGAGGCCAGTGTGGAGATATTTTGGCTAGTTCTATCAGGGATGCGCTCCAAGTTAAAGGTACGGAATCCCTTGTGGAGATTTTATCGAGACGCTCATGGTTCACTGCATTCTCCTTAGCGTGAGATTGAAGTTCTGTTCAACGAGATCTTTATCCCCATCTTAGAAATGCGAACTTCGACCGCGCAACAAAAGCTGGTGCTTTTAAATATGGTGCAACGCCTGTGTCAAGATCCCCAAGCATTGGTTGAAATTTACCTCAACTATGATTGTGATCTCAATGCAGCAGAGAATATCTATGAACGGCTCATTAATATCATTTCAAAGCAATCCAGCGCACAATATGGACCAGCGGCTTCCAAGAGCTCTTCAGCAGGCGGTTCATCTCAAGTTAACTCTCCTACTCAACCAATTTCAGGGAAAGGAAATCAAAATTCTCACACTCTTCCCCCATCCCTTACTACTTCTGCCCTTTCAGAAGCAACAACAGGCGGAGATACTGCATTAATAGAGGCGAAGCTACACCGTCAGAGCCTAGAGTCCTTGGTACACGTCTTGAAATCCCTTGTCGCCTGGAAGGATGCCGCCAACCGGACCATCCCAAATACTAATAGAGCACAAACACCAGTCAACAATCAGACTCACAATAGCACCAGCGGCTTGTCTACTTCCGATCACACGGCACCCAGATCGAGCTTGGGTGGAGACGATAAAGTAGAGTCAGCCGTGTCAAGTGGTGGTCATACGCCTGTTAGAACTTCAAGCATTTCTAACAGAGGTTCGGTCGACCTTCGTCTTGGAACGCCTGTATCAGAGAAAGCGTCATTGTTCGAAGATGACCCGAATAGGTTTGAAAGTGAGCGCATAAGAAAGATGACTATGGCCGAAGGCGTAAAGCTATTCAACAACAAGCCCAAGAGAGTGCGTAGCGTCATAAAATTTGATATTGAACATCACTAACGGTCCGATTCAGGGTATTCAATACTTCATTGACAAAGGCTTTATGCCCAATAATGAGCATGCTACTATCGCTGCTTTCTTAATGCGAACAGATGGT